AATTTTTTTGCCTTCTATATTCCCCAGAAATGAAGACAGGTAGCATGGTAACTTTACCTAACACAGGTTAGTTCATGTTTTGAGGATGGATGAAAACTATATTTGAGAACATATGTTTGAATTTTTTATATATTGTCATTTTGATGGAAATAATTTCAATGAATTATATTTGTCAAGGGGAAGTTTTAATCATACATATGAATACATGAAATAATTTGTAAGTACTTAAAAAAATTGAAAAAAAAAAAAACAGAAGCAGGATACATAACTGGTAGAGATGGGAATACGGATGCACATCGCAAGGTATCAACTTTTGCAATTTCAATCCCCAAATTTAAATTTTAAATTAGGTAGAAAGAAATTTGAGAAAAAAGAAATATCTCTTTTTATTTAATTTATAATCATATATATATAAAAGAAAGAAAAAAAAAACTTCTTCAATTTCACTACAATTACATTACAAATAAATTAAGTCAATCCTAACGTAATAAAATCAATAAAATTATTGAAGATTTGTTGTTAAAAGATTTTGATAAAACTCACTATAAGAAAAAACTAAGTCAATCCTAACGTAAAATTATTACCATACACATTTTTAATGCTAACATTTTCAGTGTCAAATACATCCCAATTTACACAACCTCAAATTTAAAACTTACACATTATACTCCACTTGGCTTAATCTTCAAGTTTTAACCACTTGACTTGATCTCATGACTTGCAACTCTCGTAAATTTCATAAACATTAAAAGGGAATATACCATTGACAAAAAAAAAAAAAATTTGGGTTTATGATTTATTTTATTTTATTTTATTTCTATATTTAGATGACAAGGTGCTTTTCGGGGTTTCGCCCAAAAAGGATTAAATGGTTTATGCAACCGAACTTCAAAATTCTGTTATAGATAAACTAAACCAAAATTAAACCCAACAGTTAGCCCAGTCCATTTCATAAATTCTTATTATCTCCCAATTATGTTGTACAGTTTCTTCATTAGGGCCATTCAAATTGAATTTGTAGGTATCAACTAAACTCTTGCTTTCTTCCGTGGCATAATTTTTATTCAATTAACTCCAATATCTCAATTTAATCAATTTATTCCAAAATATGATGATTTGAATTTGTACCACATTTGATAACAAGTTCAGAACTCTTCAAAAAATGAAGTTTGGATTTGAAATATATCCATCATTATATATAGCAAAATTCATGACTTTCTTTTTCCATAAAAAAGGTGAGAACTACGCCCACAGTGAATATTGGACGTAAATACGCAATGCACAATTTTTTTTCTTCATAACATTGGTGTGAATAGAGATAGAATTTTTGTGACAATGCTTTCAATATTGAGATTCGAGTTAGACAATGCAGGTTATCTTCTTCACCCACAATGTTTAAAAAGATCTCTCTTTAATGCCTCGAAACTGCAAACTTAATATTACATTTATAGGGCATGCCTTGTGAGGATGAATGGGAACTATATTTGAGAACACATGTTTGAATTCTATTGTCATTTAGATTCAAACAATCCCAATGAACTATGTTTGTTACTCTGAAGGTGGAGTTTTAACCGATAAATGAGGACACATCAAATAATTTATAAAATTAGTTAAGTCAAAAATCTAAATATTCATCACATACAAAAAATTTATAAATACTTCTAAGATTAGTTGAGCAAAAAATCTAGATACCCATAATATACAAAAAAGAAAAAAAAA